GGGGGTATAGGGCACTGGGACACCGTCCACCAGGGCAACTCTCACGGGGAGTCCGACGGAAATAAACACCTGCCGTGGCATTGGCGCTTGTCTGGGGGTGTTCCTCCCCTTCGGGGCGCGCCACGCCCGCCCACGCCATCCAGGAGGAGTATCGAGCCCTCCTCTCAATCGCTCTCTGCATGGAACGTAGAGCCGCGGGCCGCGGGGGGCCATCGTGTTACGTATCCTCCCAGCGTAAGGGGTCGCCCAGGAAGTACGTCCGTTTTTTATGAAATTCCTTTGGCAGACTACTACGTGAGCTCGACGCCTGCGATACTCCGGGTAGGCCATCCCGCAGTACGCGAATGCTTTACATGCAGGCTGTTGCCTACCTACCAGGCGCTATGAGAGCTCGCAGACTGTTGAAAGCTTAAAGTAAATTTCACTGTCAGCTATGGTGAACCATGCAGCACTGTAGCTTACACTGAGTTTGCACTGTATGCTACGTTGAATGTAAGTGGAAGCTACAGTGACTGTCACTTTAAGTTACGGTGAAACAGGGTGCATCACCGTAAACTTACAGTGGAATTCACCGTAGCTTACGGTGAAAATTCATCGTAACCTCTTATTGGTGTTTCTAACAGCGAATGACGGACGTACTATCCGGCAGGACGATCCCCTCGGCAAGGGCCAGACAATGTCAAAAATGGTCATACTGAAATGAACACCTGTTTCTTATCTCTTATTTTCTCTTTTTTTTCGATCGTTAGACACCCTTCCTGTCCCTTTTTCTCGCAGTCACCGCAGCACTGGGCAGCAATCCGGCTCGTTCTCCCCGGCCACCACGCCACGCCGCTCGCTTCGCCTGCTGCTCCAGTTCCCTCCCCTCAGCTTTTGCCACGGCGCTGACAAATTCGCCGGTCGACCAGGGCCACTGAAAAGCCGCGAGATTTGCCTTTACAAGTCACGAAAAAGGCTGCATGCCCGGAGGAAAAAGGGAAACCCGGCACGGACGGAGAACAACGAGTTGCTCGCTCGTGAATACACCGGCTGCTATTTTTAGACCATGACGATGACGCTCGGGGGGCGGGGTGGGAGCGGGAGGGTGTTGTGCTGCAGTGTTTGAGAAGTCGCTGCAAGTGCGGGAGTGCCTCAACTGGCCTCACCTACCTACCTACCACGGGGACTTCGGGACCAGACAGACTGGGGCTGCGGGGGCTGCGGGTCGTGCGAGAGTTCCCACGTAGGGAGGGGGGGGGGTCTCCAGG